AATTTAGACTGAAGCTCAAGTACAGAACCATCTACAGACAGGGTTACAGGATTGGCTTTACGAAGTTGATGGGGGGTGCCAATAAGCATGACTTCAGTCTTGTCACAGTTAAGATGAAGGAGATTTTGAGTCGTCCAAGTTTTTATGTCAGAGATGCAATTTGATAGAATAGAGGCAGCCTTGAACAGCAGGACCACGACTGGACACCCTTACTTTGAAGTTTGAAGGCATTGCCAATTCAAGTGCTTAATCATCCCCGACTTCGGAATCAGAGTCATTGGCGCTCAAGCCCAAAAACGCGCTTGAGTTCTTAAAGCCTGTCAGAGCAAAACATGTCTTTAGAGTCCGGGATTGGATTCGGTTGTTCCTCTCTGGACGGACTCCCGGGCAGCAAGATATTTCGTGTATTTTGAGCGCCATGGTACATCATAGAAATGCAATGTTGTACAACAAACGTTCATCCACTCGCACAGCTAAACACGTGTTGGTATGGGATTCAAATACTAATTAGCAAAAGGGTAACAAAAAAGGAGGTTTCACAAAAAAAAAAAACAGCACGTTAGTAGCTCGAGAGGCGAAATACAACAGCGGCTTAAATCGGTGTACAGCGGGACCAGAGGAGATCCACTTTCCCAACAATTAGGAATGGAAATCCACAAAAAACAAAATGAGAAGCCGATAACTCCCGCAAACTAATTGGTCTCCATCCTTAAAACAAGAATCAGGGGAAAACTTGAAACCTGGGTTCAAATACACTGTTGGCTCCTTGCCAGCGATGTTTTACGAGAACATTTTAATGCAATTCTGCATTAAAAGAGCTAAACGTTATCCATGTATCCCGAAAGGGCGATTATTCACGAAAGTGTCGTTGAAAACTGCTGGACGACAGCGCAGAAACTGCACTTTAGCAACACCTGTATGTGTGTGTTTTCCAGTTAATAATTAAAAAGAAAGGAAGTAACAGAACAGGTACAATTCACCCGCACGAAACAAGCGACAAAACCCCGCTAACGTCCTCCGCCGCGAAACATTTTATCTCCCTTTTTCAAAAGGCGTTGTTGATAAATATGACATCTTACCTCCTGAGGCGATATCTCAATCCCAAATCAACGAGCCGCCTTGCTTTCTCTTTACAACTTAAACCAGCACTAATAACTGCCTAAGTAGGACCCGCCCACCTCACATCCTTATTGGCTACAGCGCTCACCTGACGTTCGTGAGTGGTCCCGCCGCGTTGTCAATCAACGTGGTCACATGATACGTATCATATGATGATGCTTATCGGGTCAGTCATGCTTTTAACAACAATAAAGGGTTTTAGAAATACGGAAATTGCGTGTTTGTTGAGCGGCAGTGTTATGCTGGATCACTAAAATACCGAATGGTATTTAGTCTATAGTGTGTGTGTGGGGGGGGAGGTTGAGATCAGTGGATTTTGCGTTTTCAAAAGTAAAAATAGTTTGCGGTGTGTTTATCTCTCAATTTAATACATTCGTAACGAAGGACCGGGTTTCATGGCAAAGACCGAGCTTGCCGCTGTTTTGTTACTGGTTTGTCTTTATTAATTCCGCCGTTCAATGGTTCTGTCGGAGAAGCTCCAGGACGCCCCCTAACGGTTCTGCATTTCAAACCGTTCAGCCGCCATGGCTTCGTGTCACGTGACTTCCGGGCTGCAAGCCGCTAAAGGGAGCACATTTTTAACCTTGTTTTTTTTTTCAGATTAGATTAGATTAGATCATTCTTTCTTCCCACACAACAATAGTTGGTGGAATTTGCTTTCGGCACAGCAAAGAACACAGATGAGACACACTTACAACATATACAGTACAAGTTTAAATCGGACATAAGACAAACATCGTCACATAGCTATGTAAACAACTATTCATGTAGCAGCATAATACAGTGGAATTCAGTTCAGTTCAACGTGAATTCAGAGCTCGTATGGCAGCGGGAAAGGAGCCGAGGTTGACGCGGGCAGTCCTTGACAGGAAGGATTTGAAACGTTTTCCAGAAGGGAGACGCTGAAAGAGATGATGAGCTGGGTGAGAGGGTTCTGAGGTGATTGTCTTGGTGCGACTTGAGTAGAGAGATGAAGTGGAAGGAAGATCACAACCTACACTTTTTGCAGTTTTGGACTACAAATATTTCCAGTTTGCCTTTTGAGTCGTTGTCCAAGCTCCCATACCAGACTGTAATAGAGGTTGTCAGAACTTTGGATTATGGCTGTGTAAAATTAAAGAAGGAGTTGCCGGTTCACGCTGTGTTTTTTGAGTTGCCTAAGAGTTACCTTTAAGTTGCTGTGCTTTTTTAACGATGTTGTCAGTGTTGATGCTCCATTTAAGATCAGTGTTTATGTATGTACCCAGAAACTTAAAGGAGTTTGTGGTTTCTATAGGAAGGTAATGAAGATTGGAAGTTATGTGGTTTTAGAAGCGTTGAGTAGGAGGTCATTGTCCAAACACCAGGCTGTTCCCCAGTCATTTTGCTTTCGGTAACAAGTCTCATCATTAACCGAGATGAGGTAGTGTCATCTGCATATTTGAGAATCTTAATTTGAGAATTAAGCCATATACAGTTTCTTGCATTAGGAATATTTCTTTTTGCATACCCCAGCTTGCTTTTGTAATGGAAAGTTACTGAAAAAAAGTGTTTGATCCTAAAAATGTCGTTTATGGGCAGAACTGTGTTGTAAAAGCCGCTGGATTCTGTGAACAGTGTGATTGTACCCAGCGAGTCATGGGCACGGGATGTTTTAATAATGTTTATCTCTGCCCCAGCAAAAAAGGCAGATACAAAACTGCACGTAGCTGTTTTCTCTGTCCTTCAAGGCTAAGACCTATAAGGACTGGAAAATTGCTGTCTTGCCTGTCTTTGTATTACTAACCAACCATAATCAAGTAAACAAGTTGAGGTGTTGCATCAGCTAAGTGTAGTGTAGCTTTCCCTATTGCACAATATGAATAAATGCCTTACTGAGTGAATGAGAACACCTTTCCTGGCTCTTCTTTGATAAAGCTTCCACAACACTTTCCATGAGACACACAGGCACACAAGAGGCCCCAGGCTTCTCTGGGGTCAGAGCACAAGGTCAGCCATTTATACAGTGCCTTGCTCAGGGGTCCAACGGAGTAGGATTCCTCTGCCAGCCACGGGATTTGAACCAGGAACCTTCCAGCCACAGGCGCAGATCCTTAGCCACCACTCCCCTCATCAATCTTGACAGAGTTTTCCCGAGAGGTGAGGTTGTATGTGAAAAGGGAAAAGAGCCGTGGAGATAGGACAGTGCCTTGGGGAGCACCTGTGCACCTGAGAGGCAGAGGGCAAGATGTCCCGTTATTCACCCTGACAGTCTGTTGGCGATCCAATGACACATAGCAGGGTTGATGTCCATCAGTTTACTGAATAATCTATGTAGATTAATGGTATTGAATGCTGAGCTGAAAACCCCAAAAAATATAAGCAGGCATAGGATTTTGCCTTCTCCACATGCTGGAGTGGGCAATGGAGAGCCAGATTAACAGTATCTTCAACAGAGCAGTTGGCCCTGTAGGCAAACTGGTGAGGATCCAGCAGAGGAGATGTACAGTGCTGGAGGGGCTTAAGCACGAGACACTCAAAGGCTTTCATAGCCACCGAATATAGTGGATATTTTAAACCTGTGAGGGACTTTCTGCTGAAGTGAAGCATTCTAAATGTTGGCAAACACAAGAGCCAATCGATCAGCACAGTAGCTGAGGGTTGCAACTCACAAATTGTCGGGGCCTGTAGCTTTTCTTTTCTTTTCTTTTTTGAAGATTGCTCTTACTTTGTCAGTATGGATGGAGGAAGGAGGAGGCAAAGGGGTGGACGAAAATGAAGGTAATGAGGAGGCCTTCACATCAGGTTTTCCGAAGCGAGCAATAAAACTGGTTCAGTTTATCTGGGAGACTGGGGTCATCATCCAGTAAGGTGATGGGAGTTTTTTTTCCTTGTAGTTGGTCATTTCCTGAATTTCCCTCTAAACTGGTCTTGAGTTGTTGTCAGCAAATTGTTCCTCTAGTTTTTTACTGTAGTTACTCTTACCTTTCCTCCCTGCAGAGCGCAGTTCATATTTGGCTGAGATATATTCCGTCCAGTCACCCTTAGTTAAAGTAAGCCTTAAATTTGAATGATCAAACATCTAACAAATATCTCTTTCTGTTTTTGAATAAATTGTTATATAATTTTTTACAGTATGTTGATATAATCTAGATAGATCTGTCATACATCTACAGTCTGTGTGGCTCCTAATGCCTCAATAGGGTGATGGGGAAACTATGTTGTAAATATAATCCTTCCAATGAGCCTTAAAACCGAAGTCCTGACTCTCCGTGGTCATTAAAAAAAGAGTAGGGGTGTTACCCCGGCGTCCTGACCAAATTTTTTCCCCTGGCTTTTACCAGTCATGGCCTCCTATTAATCCCCATCTCTGAACTGGCTTCATCACTCTGCTCTCCTCCTCACTGAGAGCTGGTGTGTGGTGAGTGTACTGGCACACCTGTAAAGCAATTATAGAGGATAGAATTAAACTGTGGAAATGTGTTTCTGTCTTTGACTTTTGCCATAGAAGTACAAAACACACAAGCAAAAACATAAAAGTCACATGAAGTACTTGAAATCACATCAACGGTATAGATAAACATTTAGGTAAGTGGGTGGGCTACATTTACATGCATTCATTGAGCTGGTTTATCGCAGGGTGGACAAGAGACTTCTTATAAATTTATTATCATGTTATGTTCAGAAATTGTAATGCATTCAACCACTAAGGTATCGTGCGTCAGTCACCATCACAGAAGTCGGTCTTTTTCATGTACTTAAAAACAAACAAACATCGGTCTCCAGAACAGCCAGTCGCGGCCTGTGGGAATCAATGTCATTACTGCGGGAGAGCTGCGCCTCGCCAGTCGGAAACCGACGAAGCTTTCCGGGAAAGGCCGAAGGCCGGGAGAGCGGCCTGACTGCGGCTTCGGCGCATAAGCCCGGGCGGTGACGTGTTTGCGGAGGAGCGCGAGCCCCCCGAGTGGTTGGCAGGCAGACGCTGGCCGGGCGAGCAGCTGGGGCGGTGCGAGGTCCCGGTGGGCTCCGGGAGCATGAGTTTGTTTCGGGTTTTAAAAACATGAAGGGCGACAATTACAAAACAGGAATCATCTCCTCTTAGACTGAACCGAGACCGAGGTAAGGCACGTTCGAGGCTCAGGTTTAAGGCTCGGACTGTAATATGGCGTTCAGGTTGTTTTCTTGTTTTTGAGGTGCGTTTCTCGTGGCCCGGCCGAGGGGGTTGCGGGTACAGTACAATCCCTAAAAACGGACATCGAGTTTAATAATAAAATAAAAAAAAACACGAACTTCATTTTTTTAAATTTGAAATGATAGAACGTGGGAGCACCATGTGTTGGAAAAGTTGAGTCTCGTTGCATGCGGTTTTTACTGTCCTTGAATTTTTGGCTTTTTCTGCAGCTGGCAGTTAAAGATTTGAACGTGTAAATGTAACTGACGCAGAAAAATGAACGTTTTTGTAACTGAGTGTTTTTCAAATAATGTTGCTATGGGACAGCTCCTATACTTTCCATATACTGTATCTGCACGTTCTGTGGAAACACAGTCGCGCTAAGCAAAATTATATAAATAACCTAGGAATGTCTTAACGTTTTAAGATGTGATGCACAGAGAATAATTTAACGACAGCGTATAAGAGCACAAGAATCGACCTACAACAATATCCAGATCTTAACATTTCGGGGGGGGGGAGAGGTTTATCTTCTGCAAGATGGAATCCCTCTCTTCGTTTTGCTCATTGCAAAATGCACCGTCGTGTATTCTTTTCCCCCCTTATGATGCATGTTTTTAGCGAGAAACCGGGATTAGTTATCTGAACGGATAGGTTCATGTTACATAAAACGGATGCAACAACACTAAAATAGCATCGCAGTATTTTCTTCCAGGCGCTTCCAAATCAGCGGCTAATACTCTACTTGCAGCCGGATAGGAAGTTAGGAGGCTGTGCTAACAGCGCTCTTTGTTCCTTGTCCCGGTTAGGAAATCTGTAGTTGAAAGGACAAACATGCTATTGGGCTCTGAGGCTTTAGCTGCGTGCTGCGCCATCTAAAATTTGCTAGCCAGATTTTCCAGGGCAGACCCCCACAAAAGCGGAGAAAAGTCTTCTTGCAAAACGCATCCTGTATCCTATTGAGGAGGTCGATACATTTGCACCTTAATTGCCCCTTCATGGCGATTGCTGAGCTGTTTTTGTCAAGTGCAAAGTGAGAAATCCTTTGTCTTAAAACGCGCACCACGACAAGCGGGCCGTGGAGAGTGGCCGGCATGGACTGGCATCAAATCCTGTGAAGTCTGCAGACCTGATCGATTTCGGGTCTGCTGCCTTCGCCCGTCTCTGACAGGAGTGCGATATTCAAGTCGGTCAAGATCGAAGGGGAGAGCGTGTTAAATAGCCAGAGTCGTGCAATTGAAAGACGCCCTGCAGCAGTGAACGTACGGACGCTGAGATGTGGCTGCTTGAAAGATTTTATTCCATTTTGCTGAAATACGCAAAGACCCACAGCGGCGAATCCGCGGAGCTGTTGTGTTCCGGTTGGTGCTCTTCATTCATGGGGAACACGGCGCGCTGTTTTGCAGCGGGTGCACGAGCAGGGTGGGGGTCTCACTGACGCTCAGACAAAGGGACAAAGCCCCCCCCGTGTTCGTGGGTGCGCTCTCGGGAGAGCGCGGGGGGAAGGGGGTGCCCTGTCCGTGGGGTGGGAGGCCGACTGTCCTTCCGTTTCACGCATGTGCGAGTCTCCCTCTGCTCTCTGGAGTGGGAGTGGGGTGCAAACCTCTAGACAGCTACCCCCCCGTGTGACAAACCCCCTTTGCGCTTGAACCTGACTTGTCGAATCGTAAACAAGGTCTGTTGGATTCTTCCTGCACGTTTTAACCTGGAACTCCGATCAGAAACGGATATAGTCATTATTGGCTGCGGGCTTCTAAACTACCACAATGTAAATATGCAATTACAGCAATTGTAAGATTGATATTTTAACGTAACCCCCCCAAAAAAAAACGTGTTATTTGTAAGATTTTGTTACTATATGGTTATAAAGAAACGATTACAGTGTCCCTTGCCAACAAAGTTTTTTTCGCGGTGTTTTCTCCAATGCTCAGGAATAGCAGCCTTTGCGGTTATACAAATTAAAAACAAAAACTGCTTTGCAGTCTTAAGAAGATCATTTGCAAATCATTTTGCAAAAAAATAACGATGTTTTGAAGATATTATTTTTTTGTCGCATATAGCTGTATCACATTCACATGCATGAGAACGGATTTTCAATTGATAACTACATTAGAATGTGATTATAATAATAATATCCCTACATTTATATAGCTTAGATATTTTCTGGACACTCAACTCAAAGCGCTTTACAGGCAATGGGGATCCCCTCCACCACCACTGGTGTGCAGCCCCACCTGGATGATGCATCACTACTCTCCCCACACACCCGCTCTCAGTGGGGAGGAGAGCAGAGTGATGAAGCCAGTTCAGGAATGGGGATTATTAGGAGGCCATGATTGGTAAAGGCCAGGGGGAAAAGTGGCCAGGACACCAGGGTAAACATACCGAATCTTTTTAGAAACGCCCTGGGATTTATAATGACCACAGAGAGTCAGGAGCTCAGTTTTGTCTCAACCGAAGGACGGTGTCGTTATTGTAAATTTCAGAGCTCGCTTGCATGCATGTTTGAAATGGGCAGGGCTTTAGATATCTGTCAGGGAAACATGTCCTTCATTTCTAACTGCACTGCCGGGCGTGAGTATATCCACACCCTCCTCACTGTGGACTGAAGATAACAGTCCTGTTGGAGCAGTGTACTGCTGCTGAGCAGAGCACGATTCTTCAGCGTGTTACGTATTGATGTTGGAGTTTAAATTCGAGTGGGCAGATCTGTGCTAATCTTTGTACCCTCATTCCACAGAACCACCCCCCCCCCCACAGGTGACCTAAACCACTTAGATGGCCAGTGTAGGATTCAGCCCTCACTTGCAGGTGTTTGCAGTGACACAAACACCCAGGTAAAGGTAAACTCCTCAGGGCTGTGCTACACCTCCCATTGATCAGGCCCTGTACCTGTGAGAATCGAGGTAGCTTCAGGGACACCTTCACCTTGGAAACAAACCCTAGACAAAAGAGATCCAAACAGTGGGGCCACAAAACTGGCCACAAATGGAAACTGCACTCACCCGAGTTCCCCTCCTGCTGTAAAACTCAGCCAGCGGAAGAAACGTTCGTCAGTTTTCGGGTCGAAAAAACCTGTAACTGATTTACAGCGCTACAGAAATTGATTTTCTCTCGATTTTAGGTTAGGTGTCTTCTCTTTTTCGGTTTCAGCACATTTACCAGAGAACAGCTTCACCGGACATAGAGCTTTCATGACATTTTCTTGCATCTCGGGAGTTTTATTATAAGGGATCAATGAAGCTTTTAAGGATTCGAACATTTCCAGTGACTATAACTGCAGGACTAATGAGTCTTTTTCACTGCGCAGATAAGAGTCTGCTGTACTTCATTAATTATTGACAGCAGGTTACTGCAGGACAATTGCCTGAACCATTTTGTGCTTTCCTTGAGAGTCGCATAACTCCACTGACCTGCATATATAAATGCATACATGCACTCATACCGTTTCTAGATCCACTTGTCAGGCTAGGCTTGTGTGCTCAAAACAAGGCAACAGGCATGATGTTGAAGTGGTTCATGTGAAGGTTTATTCCTTGCTGAAAAGAAAAGGGACACAGGAGAGTTCTTTCACACCTGAAGAAGGCTCCACAGCCGAAACGTGTTTCTTGTCAGCGTGGAATAAACCTTTACCTGTCCTTTGCAGCCGACGCCTGCTGACACAGCTCCCTACTAGAACATGATTTTCAGGTGCTTGGTGTAGACTATCGGATACCTTTATTCAGCAGATTGGCCAATTGAGATAAAATACATAGTGAATTACAAAGTAATTTACTATAATGACCTGGAGTTTGCATGTTTAAACAGTGGAGCATGTTAAAACACACCTGAACGCGTCTGGCTACAGTTCCTTGCTTGAGAGTGTAACAGGAGTGCTGCACCTGAGATCTGGACCTACATCCACATCCACACTGTTGCTCCAAAATGGGAGAAAAAAAGCCTTGTGGCTGACATAGTCTGAAAGTCCCAGTCAGTGCAGTGAGAATCTTAATTGTTTCCATTCATCCATCCAGTTTCTAACCGCCTGATTAATTCAGGATCGCGGGGGAGCTAGACACTATCCGGGCAAGCAACAGGCCCAAGGCAGGATACACCCTGGATGGGACACCAGTCCATCGCAGGGCACACAGACTCACACCAGGGCCAACTTTCTTAGAAGCCAGTTAACCTCCCAGTATGTCTTTGGAGTGTGGGAGGAAGCGCTCATTAGGGAAGCATTCATAAGGGACATTAACATGGGGAAACGTACAAAGAACATGCAGATAGCATGCAGGAATAGAAGCCGGGGATCCAGCGTTGCAAGGCAACAATGCTGACCCATGTGCCGCTTACGACAGTAAATTGTGTATGCCCTTTACCCTCCTAACACACTGTGGCTGCTCCACAGCTCCATGTGGGGCCCATGTCCCCGTCTCTGATGCTGATGCTGGTGTCCCATGGTGTGTTTCAGGTGTGCAGGATGGGGGACAGGGCTGCTGTGACCCCCTCAGCCAGCATCACCCCAGTACAGCAGATGCTGGCCTCTGGGACTGGGGCCCTCTTCACATCCCTGTTCGGTGAGTTTGGAAGTGAGCCTAGCTTGTCTTGTGTGTGATGGATAAGAGAGATCAATTTATTGGCCATATACAATTTCTTATATTAGGAATTTGTCTTGTCGCATACCCCAGCTTGCTCTCCATGAGACACACAGGTGGGGAGTGAGAAGCTTGGGGTCAGAGCGCAGGGTCAGCCATTTATATGGCGCCCCTGGCGCAGCTGGGGTTAAGGGCCTTGCTCAGGGGCCTAATGAAGTAGGATTCCTCTGCCGGCTGTGGGATTTGAGCCAGCAACCTCCCAGCCACAGACGCAGATCCTGAGCCACAGAGCCACTGCACTGCTCAATGCCCAGTTTCTGAAGGAAAAGTAATGGTTCAAGTCTTCATTTTAAATCGTGTTAAAAATCAGTAAGTAAACAGTAAGTAAAATATGGTTAATTTAAGAAAATCTAAAGTGAGATAGAGTTCTGGGCTGAGGAGGGTGTACAATCTCATATGACCAGTTCAACACACATTTCTTTGGGTAATGAAAAGGCAGGTCATGCGGACTTTCTGGTAGTTTCATCATGCTTGGCTCAGAGTTTCAGCAGGCGAAGATTAATACTAATCCCCACCTTCCCCCATGTAATAGCTCTAATGCTTTCTTTCTCTCAGCCTGGATTTTTAACTCTTCATCTCAAATTACATGTCAGTCTTTTTGAATAAAGACCTTTATGGCTGCGCTCTTAGTAACGTCAGTTCCAGATACAAAGTCCCAGAGGTGCGCTTTGTTAGCACATACAGTTGTAGACCCAGCCCAACCAGCTGAGTTTGTTTTGTATTGTTTGACTTTTCTCCTGATGGTATTAAAAGCTGTTCTTCATTTCAGTCACACCACTGGATGTAGTCAAGATAAGACTGCAAGCCCAGAGGACACCATTCTATCAAGGTGCTTCTTTGTTTCTTAAAAACCGCATGATTGTTTTCAGACGAGTGTGCGTGTATCTGTGTCCTACCCACCGGCCTTTGGCCTTTTTAAAAGGAAAACTGGCTGGTGCAGCTTGCATGTCTTTTCGTATAAAAACACAGCTGTTTTCCACCTGTGTGTTTCAGGAATGCATTGCATCTCCTTTGCCTGATACAAATACCCTTTGCATCTCCTCTGCCTGATTTCTGTTTTTAACTCTCAGCCCTGCACTCCAGCTTTTCCCTGGTTTTGCCCTCTCATCTTTGAACGAGACAATGAGTGTGGAAATATCAGTACAACCTAACAGCCTGAACTTGAGCGAAGTAATATTCCAAGCAGCGCAAAAGAATGGTCTTTATGGCTTTCATTCGATTGTGAAAGTCTGAAAGAGTGCTTAGCAAGACCTAGGCCTATTAACCAAACTCGCCTTGTTGATGGCTTCTGCTAACCTCGCTGTTAAGAAAGCATGTTTTGGTTTTGCTTACCTATGCTGTTGTTTGTTTGTAGCTTTGGCTGTAGAATCAGTGCCCTGGAGCAATGTTATTCGTCAATCTAAGTGTGAGTATTTCCCTCTCGCCACATCACCCTCTGGTGATGCTAACACAGAGTTCCTGCAGTTGCCAAGCTCAGCTCACACGCTAACGTGCAAAACACTTGTCGCATAGAGAGACTGTCTTAACTCTGCATAGTGTTCTCTGGGATTTTATTTAATGTAAGCACAACAGTTGTCTGCTAGGATTTGTTTAATTCCACATATAAACTAGCACGTTAAATGGCATGAAAATGCATCAGGGATATACAGAGGAACATGTCTTATGCTTGAGGATTATAAACCTGGGTCATTGTGGCTGGATAGATGCACGTCTCCACTGAAATGTTCAGGAACGTCTATAAACAGCAGGCAGCAGTAATTGATGGGCAAGGATGATATACAGTGTAGAAACGCTGCAGTAATTATCAAAGATCCAGGGACAAAGCATGTCGAAATGTGTGAGTGCTTACATTTCCGAAGCCCAGCATGCTGTCCCAGCAACACTGTCACACTGCTTAGCACAATTGTGCACTAACCCAAAGCATTATCTATACATTGTTAAATCAAGAATATGCAATATGAGGAAACTCTTTCCACATGTAGCATCTCAAACCCTTCTGAGCTTAGGTTTTTGCTGTGAATGCATTCTGTCGTCTTAGTTCTGAATTGGTCTTTTATGCGCCTGTAAAAACAGCAGATGGTTATCGACGGGGAAAATCTATTTGACCCACTTTCCTGTGCCATCTCACAAAGCAGAGCGTTTCTGTTCAGGGTGAGAAAAAGCCCAGTGCAACCCCTTTCTTTATTAATTTTAAATGTGCACTAGCGCGATTAACAGCAATGTAGCCAGTGTAGCAATGTAGCCAGCTGCTGCATATCCTTTGAAGAAGGAGCCACAGTGTGGGTTTTGGAGGATGATTGCTTCATCATCATTAGCTCTACATGATATCCCATCCCTCCCTACATTCTGCTTTTTAAATTAACACGTCTTAATGTAATCTGTTGCACCCATTGTGTATGAATCTCGTACAACAGCAGGAGCACAGTCTCTTTTCCTGAAATGTAGACATCTAATAATATAGCTCTGAATATAAGACAGTTGATGCCTCTTCTTCGTATGCAAAGGCTTTGTTTGATTTAAGAACTGGTGAACTGAAACATAATTCATTGCTTAATCTAAACCGCTGCAAGACAATGAAACACATTTTGATAATGTGTTATCCCACTGTGGTTAATATCGTGCCTTTAAGCTATCCCCTTCTTCACCCGCTTATATGTGGTGATAGGTAGTTTGAATAACCCTGACATTTCTATTTGTCTATTCCAGGTCATGGCCGATGTGCTGCTATTTATAGTGCAGTTAGGAACAGGCGCCGTCCTGATTGGCTGTATGTTCTCTCATAAAGAACTGGATAAATAAAACACACATTACGTTCCTGGACCGAAATCTGTTGCTCGCTTTGTAGGGATACCTTACGAAACGCATCTGCCAAACCTGTTTTGTTTTTAAAGCCTTTCGGTTCGATAGCTTCTGATCATGCAGAGGGGCGATTGAGGGGTTTTATTTGTACAATAAAGGGTAAAGGTGACCCCCCCGAGCCCCCTTCTCCCTCTCTTTTGCGAAAGTGGGGGCATTAGCAGTCATTGTGATCTGCATTTTCAGGGAAATGTTTCCTGTATTGTAATGGCTTGATGGACCACCTCTATGTGTGCCGGAATGGAGCCAGCTGTGTCAGCTGGTACAAGACCCCCACACACTTCCGAGGGACCCTGGTAAGGCCTGCTGGGGCTGTGATGCAAGGGCTGGGCGGACTTTCCACGCTTGGATTTCTGGGATTTTGAACGGATGCCCAGCGGAATGTTCTGGGGATTTTTTTCTCTGTCGGGGGTGGGGGCAGGGGGCGCTACAGAAGAATTTCAGTTTCCTTACCTGTGGCAGAGGAAGGAATTGCTTAGGGTTAAAGCCTGAATTAACCTGGGAGGTGGGTGTGTTTATTTCCTCCCCCGTTTCCAATGCAGTCACAAAGTGCTCGAATGCACAAACGATGGAGCTAGGAACAATCCCCAGGCATCGAAACAGCTTAGGAACCGGTCCCCAGGAAAGGATCAGAATTTTCCATGGCGGAAGATCTCACTCTGTATTACTGCAGGGAGATGTGGGTTGGGAACCAGCATGGTTCTCTTTATTCCAGCATCTGACTTTTGCCCCATGACATTGTGGTTATCCAGAGTAATTTTTACTTTCATTAGGCCTTACAATGCCTAAGGAGAGCAATAAAGACACCCTTATATAACCTAGCACCTTTGAAAGCCTCTCATCATGTCGGCCTGTAACAACCCTAGTTACCACTGGGGCCTTGGAATACGGCCTGGGTGCATGTCGAGCAGACAGTGTGTAGCTCCCCGTTTGAGCAGTGGAAGGCAGCCTGCTTCCTCTTTTGCCCTGCCTGCAGTGGGGTACCTCCTGGGCGTCTGTCTCGATTCCAGCGCGGAGTCCAGGCTCTCATGTGGTAGGCAGGGCTCCATCATGGATGCTTCAAGGAATGTGATGATCAGAGTACGATTACAGCACAGTGTTGATCTCAAAAGTAAAAAAAATGTTTGAAAGGGAAAGGAATTTTCTGACTCCTAAGAAAAGTCTAAAAGTGGGGGTTTGAAAGTATATATAGACAGATTGTCTGTTATTGGGAATAGACCTGTGTAAGCCGGCTGCAGCTGAACCAAAATGCTTTCCTTGCAACTTGTCTGTTGCACTGAAGGAATGGTGATGCTGCAAACCCAGGAACTGTGCTGCCCAGGTGTAGTGGCGAAGGGTTAGGTAAGGCGTGCAGCGGCGTCTCTGGTAAAAAAGCGGGCTTAATCATCAGCGACGCGTCGCTGCGTGGTTCAGTTGCTCAGCATGTGTGTTCCAATTTCAGGACGCCTTTGTGAAGATCACGCGCTACGAGGGGATCCGGTCCCTGTGGAGCGGACTGCCACCCACACTGTGAGTTTAGAGGAAATCAAGCAGGCTGACTTGATGGTGCATTTTCTTGTAACTCCAAAAAATACATTTCAGTGGACAGGAAGTAGTGTTGAAACGCTAGAGGTCCGTTTCTTTCTAAAGCAAACTGGAAACAAGGCCGAGACAGGAAACAAAAATCCATAGAATTGACCTGTTGCTGGACCATCAGCTCCAGTGGTTAGAAAGTGATTATAGATGGCAATGTGCTGAGAAGAAACATGCTTCGTTGTCCTGTTCTGCTACACCTGGGCAATGTAGGGGACATCATTTACAGCTGGCTGACATAGTTTAGGCCCTGACAGAGCCAGCACAAACAGAGCACATAATTTAGCTGCAAGGGACCTGAATTAAAATGCTTTTTTCTGTCATCACTGGACTTCATTAAAGCTTCAGCGAGCTGTAATGGAATTTCTGGACCAAAAGTTGCCAAGAAAACTTAACAGCACCTAGGCTGTTGCTTTAAAACCTTTTCAATCCACTGTACGTAAAATGGTTACATTTACAGAGGCAGGATCAGAAGAAGATTCTTTACAGTAATCTCTCCACCCTCTGAACTGGTGCATCTGTTTTAATTCTGCTTGTCCTGTTACTGTACAGAGGTTAGAACAGTGAATGAGATGGAAATAGAAGAGCAGTTACAAATATCGAAATCAGTAGTTTTCTGCACATGGAGTGCAAAAGTTGAATACAAACAAAAATCGCGCTTCAGTCTCTGTGCTGTACAAATACTCTGGCCTGCATATTCTGCTGAAACATGAGATACTCGCATGCTGGTCATGCAGCAGTGAGTTTACGTGGGCGAAGGCTGGCTTATGACCCTTCGCGCTGTGCTGTTTTTTTGCCCGCAGGGTGATGGCAGTGCCCGCCACAGTGATCTACTTCACCTGCTACGACCAGCTGAGGGACTTCCTCCGGTATGGCATGGGGTACCAAGGCAGCCACGTGCCCCTCGTCGCAGGGGGGCTTGCCAGATGTGAGTGGCGCGTGCGTCAGCGCTGGCGTGGGTGGGTGGGGTTCTGCAGTCCACAAACGGGTAAAACATTTAGGTCCTCAGTTCATGTTACATCTAGCTATACTGAGAAGGATACATGCATGACACTCTTGCTATAATGTGAATCTTGTGCATTAGATTATAGGCAGGGGGATCTATATTAATATATTGTAGTGGCAAAAGCAGTAAAGAGATCAGACCTGATCACCTTAACTGTGCTGGTGTTATCGTGACTGACATGCCTGCGGACTCAAACTGATAAAGACTCGGTAGTCAGAAATTATAATGCCCAGAGCTCGAGAGATTTTTCCTGCACATATTCCTGGACAAGAAGAGACTGTCTTCGCACGTAGTGTCGTGTTCATTCCCAGCCATTCCTATCATAACCGGAAGTGGTGTAGATCTGTTGTGCCGCAGTTTTGTGCTTACCTGCCTGCCGTGTTCCTGTGTCCCAGTGGGCGCCGTCACTGTGATCAGCCCTCTGGAGCTGGTCCGGACCAAGATGCAGTCCAGGCAGCTGTCGTACCGAGAGCTGGGGGTCTGTATCCAGTCGGCGGTGGCCCAGGATGGCTGGCTCTCCCTCTGGAGGGGCTGGGGGCCCACTATACTCAGGGATGTGCCCTTCTCAGGTAGGCCTTTGTTCTCGAGCAAAGGGGCGTCAGACGCGTACAGCTCCACCCGTCTTGCCAGGGGCCCCACTTCTGCAGCCGCTGTTTCGTGACGGCTGGCTCTGCTGATTGCATTCTGGTGTGCTCACCTCACGCCACCTTCTGGCTTGACCGCGGCTGCTTGTGATTTGCCATCTTCCAGAGCGCTAACTGTAGAGGTTTAGACCTCCACACTCCTCTAGATCTGCTAACTTGACTTCCTGTGCAATGAAGCAGTTCATTGAAGGTGGTGGGGGGGGTGTCCATTTGAAGGCATAAAACCAAAAGTGTAGTTTTGCCCAGAAAGTTTTTGCATAGAGTGTCAATTACAAGACAGTCAGTTGCCTTTGTCAAATTTCCTTTACACAAAGGGTTGTGGGTGTCTGGAACAAGCTTACCAATGGAGCTGATGCCCTGGCTTCTTTCAACAAACAGCTGGATGAGAGGGTAGGAGCACGAGCTGTTAACACTGATTTTGTCTCTCTCTTCACAGCCCTTTATTGGTTCAACTACGAGCTAGTTAAAGCCCAGCTGTGCAAGGGCTACAGAGTTCATGAAGCCACGTTCACAATGAGCTTCTCCGCTGGGGCAGTTTCAGGCGCTGTGAGTATACCTCCCCGTGCACTGCCTGTCACAACAATGGAAGAGCCATGCTGTGGCCACATTCTGACAGGGAAAATCGGGAGAGGTGCAGATTTTGAGCCCGTTCAGTTTGGTTTGTCACAGGCACAAGTGCAATGAAATGCTTATCTGCATGTGTGCTCCAATACAAAGACATTAAAAGAATCACCAAAGACAAACACAGAACAGCAGCAACAAAATTGGCTTAAATAACATACAACTTAAAAGAGAAGTCAGACAAGCAGTGTGAGAAAAGTATTATACCTTGTTATACCATATACAGGGTTCGTGTTACATACAGTGTTATACCTTGGTATTCTGAAAGATGCATGTGATGCACATTGAGAGATGCAGGGGCCCAAAGTCCAGTAAGCTCCAGTTTTTGCACAAACCACAGTAGTACATTGTAATTAGTATAACAGAACCCCAGTCCCCTGTTGCCACTGTGCGATCGGATCCAGATGCTTTTCCGTTCCGAACTCGAGCGGGGCTTCAGCGATCTTGCCGGGGGCGGTGGCTAAACGAGGCTGTCACCCGGTCGCAGGTGGCAGCTGTCATGACGCTCCCCTTCGACGTGGTGAAGACCCGCCGGCAGATCGAGCTGGGGGAGATGGAGACGCTGCGAGGTAAGGGGGCGGGGGGGCGGGGTGACACCACCAGCAGCACCCAGGTGCACGCTGTCTCGCCAGCTGCCCCCTCTAAACTCTCTCAACACCTTCCGCGACACCACTATTTAAATCTCTCCCGGTTTTATCCCCTTTCTTGGAAACAGGACGACTCGGGCTGGATGGTCTGGTGTGATGTAGTGTGGGGGGGTGCTGAGGGGATCTGGAGTTGTACTTTCCCCCCTCCTCTCAGGTCGGCCCTCTCCTCGGCTCAGACAGAGGCAGGCTGCGGCGCGAGACGGCGAAGACCAGCGGCTCGACTCTAACTAGCTTCACGGAGACGGTCGGGCACCTGACCTCAATGCTGCAGTGCTAGATAAGACTGCTGTGTACCCACTGGATTCATTCATGCGAAGACGGCAATTTTTGGCTTGCGTGTGGTGTTTTTTGGCAGGCACTAAAGCCTGTGCTCATTTCCTTTTTTCTGGAGGGGAAAAGGGAAGATTTCCCCTGGACTGACCACCACCTCAGGAACGATGACGCTGCTCCTGACATTGGACACTCTGGGGTGTGGGGGGGGGCGTTCAGAGAGGATGACAGTCAGGTCGTCTGTTGCTCTCTATTGCTTCCTTTTTTTTTTCCTAGCTAATAACTGTCATTCTCTGCCTGTGCTGTTCCAGAGTCTACAAAAGGGATAAAAGAAGGAATCGAGCTGGGAGACGAGAGAGGCTCAGGAGTTTCCCTCCAGCTGCTTTCTTCCTGTCGACATGCTGGGCTAAGAGAGCTGAGTGAATACCCAATGTGATCTTCCCCTTTCTTACAGCTGGAGCAATGAAGCCGTCCTCCACCTGGCTCCTCATGAACAGAATCTGGGCAGAGGCTGGATACCGTGGGCTCTTTGCAGGTAAAGAGATGTTAAACTGAGGTCCCGATTTAATGAGTAATTATGAGATCCCAGGGTAGTTTCCATGAGAGTAGGGGGTGTGAACCCTGATGTCCTGGATAAATGCCAGTCTGCACCTAAACTGGTGCACTTAAGCAGCAGGCTGGCCTTCGTGAAGCTCCCCTTTCATTCACTAGGTGATGCGAAGGCTGACTTTCCTACCTGATCTGTTGTGCCTTTGGTCTGATCGCCACACATCACCCCCGCGGAGCTACGGTGATCAGTGATCTATGATCAGTGATCGATGGCTCCCTTTCTTGACGTAAAACACTCTGGGATCCTTGAGCCTCAAAAAAAATAAAAAAAGTGTGAATGCAAGGAAATATTAAAGTCCGGTGCATTTCTGCCCCAGGTTTCCTACCGCGGGTGATCAAAGTTGCCCCGGCCTGTGCGGTTATGATCAGCACCTACGAATTTGGAAAGGCCTTCTTCCAAAAACACAACCAGGAGCGGGACCTGCAGGGCCTGTGAGGCCTCGTTCCGGCCGCGCGCAAGCGGAGCATCACGCACGCAGACGGCAGAAACGCACAAGCGGCCTCCACGATCCAGGCAGTTTGAAACACCCCTAATTCCTGACCGCAGCCCGTGTCCCTGTGTGAGCTCTTGCTAATCTCCTCCAGAGAGCTACAGTACATTTTAAGAGAATTTCTAATCCCAAACTAGTTTTTCAGGAATTCCAAAGATTCGTTAAAGGCAGAAAATTCCTACTTTACAGATGTTTTATTGTGTGCAGGCTTAACCCCTCCAACCCCACTGGATAGTGTATTGCTGAGAGACTCTGTGCTGCAATAGGATTATTGATATCCATTGTTGGCTATTAGTGTGTAGGGCTACTGCTTTTAACAAGCAGGTGAGCATCAGAAAGAAAATGCTTTCTTTTCTTTCCCCAACACAGAGTATAACATGCGGTCCTGCATTGGATAGACCGACCCCCCCCCCCCATTCTGTTAATACTTCTGCACGTTAGCTGTCACAGATCTGTTTTTCAAACTCCCTGGCTCAGGTCGTTCTTGGCTGCTAGATCAACCCTCCCCACCCAGAACCCAGAGGACCCCTTTTTTGATTTTAGTCGCATCAGCCGAGAAATGTGCCTTTTTTTGGGGGGGGGTCACTGGCGCGGTCAGCCTTTAAGAGCCAGGACAGCATTTTCCGTTTGCTTCTGCCGAACCGCACCACCTGCGGTGGGGTTTTGGAGGGGGAGTTGAAAAGTTGCCTTGGGTGGATGGAGGAAACGGGGGGACAGACCTCATCAGAACAGCCCCCTCAGCCTGGCTCGGGTCTGGGCAGTGTGCTTGCAGGAGGTCATAGACTCTGTGATGGACCCATTCCCCACGTGCACGTGCTGCAGGCAGAGGACAGCGGACACGGCTTTAGGTAGTAACTCTTGCAAGAGCCTGGCCAGTGCAGAGGACTGTTGAGCCCTGTGGGTGCTCAGCCGCAGGCCAGGGTGAGGTGGGGTGGAAGACTGAAATCACACAGGCATGCTGCATTTCTCCTTGTAAAGCAAGAATGAGGCAGAGACCTTGCACCAGGTAAGTTCACATTTCAGGCTTGGGGGACAAAAAAAGGGACTTGCATGGATTTAGGAGTGGGGAAAAAAAAACAGATCAGTAAGGTCACACAAGGCCTTTTCAGTTGTGTTGCACCTTCTGTGTTTTTGTTTTCCTGTTTAATTTTCCCGGGATTAGTTCATCTATATCACTGCTGCCAAGTCTCATTGCCCACTAGCCATAAAGCCAGGGAAAAGCCCAAAACGCTTTCAGCTGGACTTGCTGTGTGACAGTTTGTGGGACCTAATAGTAGCTCACATTCCATGCAACTCTTTCCTCTGTCCTTTCAGCAGAACAGGTAGTCCAGCATGTAGAGGGCGGAGTATTTAAACCTGTTTGCCGCTGAGCTCGACCTAGCAGTAAAACAAACACGACTGGTTTGATACTCACCGCCTCCTTCAGTATGTGTAGCACAGCCTTGAGGGAAGTGGGACGGCGTCATTGATGAAGAGCCAGGCCAGAGCACGTACCTGATGAAGCCTGCACGGGCCGTGCGCCTGTATGGCAGTAAGCCTTCGAAAGGGCTGAGCTGGAAAGGGTTGCAAAACCAGCAAACGACAAGCTGTAAAAACGGGGAACAGGCAGGGTCTTGCAAGGCCGAATGTCACTGCCATAGCTGTAATCGGAGGTAGTGACCACTCAGATGCACATCAGTTTTACTCGGCTTCTGATCACATGGGATAAACACTCTACTGTGAAACTGCAATAACTTTCACTCGATTGTAATACTAGTGTTTTGATAAGCTAGAGGTAACGGCTTGTAGCCCTCGGCACCTACTTCACTCTTTACCAAACTCTATATACGTCACCTTCAACTAGAATCCTCTACAGGTTTTAGCAGACATCAGTATGTCAATGTGTGCACCGGTGCATAGTATGTTGCATTTGTGCTACGTTCTTCATTTCAGACTAGTTTTTAAAAAGTTGGCCTACAAAACTACATTAGATCAAATCCAGATGGGTATTAGTGCATTTTCTAGCATTTAATAAAATTCAAAACACAATTATGTTTGAAGAAAGTGCTTCAGTTTTCCTCTTTCCTCTGTGTCTATAAGACACAGCATGTTCTGATTGGCTTGCAATCAGGTTCTCATTGAATTGTAGACTGTGAATTTTCTCTTAATGGGGTTGGAAATACACTTGGTGGTTGTATTTGTTTGTCAGAACGTTTTCTGTTCAGTTTATACTTTTTATGTTTCCAATACTTTGTACTTTACCATTACCTGAATGTAAGAAGCAAAGATTAATAAACACTTTATTTGATCTGTAGTGTGTTCGTTTCACACAATGGTGAGGTGGGTTTTGTGGTAATTTTAACAAAATTCCATTTTATTCCACCAAAGGTTATATTTGTTTATACAGTGCTGTGCAAAAGTCTTGGGTAACACCAGTAGTTTGAGGCACATCAACAATTTAAATCCAAGATTTCCTCTGTCTCTTCTAGGATTATAACTTATGAGAGGAAGTTAAGCAGGTTATTTAGCAATCTTTACATATTGATAAGAACCTTCATAAAATCGATCACAACAAAGTAAATCATACACTAGCGCTAGGCAGTATTGGAGCTGCTAAACCACCACCTTTACCTGTTGGATCAAATCACCCAATAAGGTGTTAACATTTGTTATTGTTATTCTCTACACATCCATAAAGCTACAGGGATATTACATAGCTTTTGTGAATTACAACATGCAGGTCTGTTGGAATAATGTTAAAATGGATAACATTTCTGTAAAGGATCACCACAGAATGTTGCTTTCTGCGTAAAGAACATGTAACAACACTTCATCCATCATCCATTTCCTAACAGCTTCTTCCAGTACAGGGTCAGGGGGAGCCAGAGCCCATCCCCACAAGCAGTTACACCCTGGGTGGGACACCAGTTCACTGCAGAGCAGACGGATGCACCCTCTCGCACCAGAGCCAATTTTCCCAGAAGCCATTTAACCTACCAGTATGTGTTTCGACTGCGGGAGGAAACCTACGCAAACGGAGAGGATACAAACTGCAGGTAGCACCTGGAATTGATTGAAGGGCCCCAGCACTCCAAGGTGGAAATGCTTTAACCACTGCGCCATCATGACACCAGCATTTCCGGTGTATATTATTACCAATCTGCGGACTACAGGGCCTTGCTGCACAGTTGCAAACCCACTCGAAAGCCTTAGTTTATCCATTTCCTGATTTCGCTCAATGCCAACTATAATAAAGCTTGACAGTGCACAACAAAAAACAGCAACCCTGTTAAGACACTGCATTGTTAATAAACCACAACACCTGCATATGTCAGTTCTGGTAGGAAGGAAAGAACAAACACATCACTTGTTAAATTCTTTAATCAGCTTTGTATATTAACATCATTAAGAACAAGCATAAAAGATTGCACAAAAACAGAAAGGAGAAAGAAAATCAGAGAAACAGAAGAAAATGGCATCTTTCAGTCAAGGGGGTGGTATGTTTTAGTATGAACCAAAAGAAACTACAACCTACTACTTAGCCACAGAGGAATGGATTTGCTGCACGTTCATTACACACAAAAAAAACAGCCTTAAGGGATGACATAGCATTTCTCAGCCCTGCTTATTCGGCCTTTTCAATCATTTGCAAACTGCTGCCACCTTGTGGAGAGATTAGATGCTCGACACCAATCGCTTTTCAAAACAAAAATTCGGTCCTTTCTAAAGCGGTTGGTTAAACAAAGAAGCGACCTCAAAAAATAAAAGACCTGGGAAGCAAAATTTCCAAAAACAAACATAAAAAAAAGGTCTCAGATTTTTTTAGGAGTATTGTGCGATAGTACGCCAAATCACACTTCTGAGAGCATCAACTGCATTTCGTTCATGTCCAGCTTCATGCAGGGCAGTAGATTCCTGGCAGAACTAGAGCATATAGGTGTAATACCCACTTTGGCATGTGACTGGCTTTATTATTCATAGTCTAGCAACCTCTTCTTTAAACTCATCCATGTGTGCCGACCCTGCAAGACTGCTGGAGAAACACAATGACACGTGCGGAGCGCACACAGGGTTAAACTGGGTCAGACGATGGCACAGCAGTCTTGCCAGGACTTCCACGCATGTGCGCCAAGGGGAGAATATGGCTGGACATTAACACCTGAGCCACACAATACAGGGCAAGGCAAAAGGAAATTTGACCCTTTTGTGCGATCATGTTTTAAAAGAGAAAAATCACCCCAAAGTGTCTACACAGGATAACAATGGACGCCTAAGGAATATGCACGGAGCAGAGCTAAGGCACAAATATTTCACAGTTGTGCATCATCTAGAAGAGCATGGGCTGGTTTTTAAGACCTGATTTTAGCCATAAAATGACCAGGAATGTTATCTTTTAATCAGGAGACCTTGAGGTGGGATTTTTTTTTTTGCAACAATATACTGCAGCTCTTGCAGGGTCTGGTCATCAACGTGCCTTTCCATCATCGCAGCCCAAGGTAAATCCCGAGGAATGACTGAGGTGGAGCTCAGATCGGCTGAGGGTGTGTTCCGTGGGATGCACAGGAAGTAAAAGCAGATCAGCAAGGAAGCTGATCCCTCACAAACCCGTGCTATGGCGAGTCGTGGAAAAAGAAGCAAAGTGTAGTACACTGGGACACGCGTCTCCAACGTCATGTGTCAAGCAAGACGGGTAGAAACGAATACAAACTGGCAAATAAAACACACGAGTAAATACCAGAAGAATAAAAGCACAGGGAATGAATTTAGAGAAACAGGCATCTTGGATCTAATCCCAGCAAATTCTTTGCACTTCCAAAATCTAACAGGCACCTCAAAATCTTCAAGTCTCATGTTCAAATACTGCAGCTGAAATAAATTTGTCCAGCTTCAGATCTTTAATCACGTCGAAGAAGATCAACTTCAATAGGGAAATGCTCCAAACCAAGTATCATTTTGCTGGTCTGCATGATTGTTTTTGAAGGTAGTCTCAATAGAATACATACCTCCAAAAGTTACCAAATCTATATTTAACCTATTGGGTTAATTCCTGACACCAAATGCCTCTCAATGAAGGTCAAAAGATTCTTTAAGGCAGAGATATCTCAACATGGGACGAGCAAACTGATTATTTCAAAGTGTAACTACTTGGGATGTTGGCAGGGCCCTGTAGACTGGACAGCAATGTAGTCGAAGGCTTTAATCCTACATTGATTTACTGAAACACTCTGAGAACCCTCCCTTCTGCTTCTCTTGGCAAAGGATATTCCAAATGGAAAGAGTAGGAACAGGTCAGTGATCTGCAAATGAAATCATAATTAGTACAAATTGGGGAAAAAAAACAGATATTGTGTAGCCAGTATTTAACAAAGAGGTGTCTTTGTTTTTGTTTTATGTACATTTTTCTTTATTTTTTTATTTCCATCTTAAAATGAAGGCTGACCTATTAGGGCCAACACTGTCCCAAACACCCTATGAAATGAACTCCTTTCCTACAGACTAGTACACAAGGGCAGTGGCTTCACAACATCTTTAAATAAACCAGTTTCCTCTAAAAACTCTCACTCATTGACTCCGCACAGCAATAAGCACTGATTATAAAAAAAAGGGATGAGGTTTGCTTTCAATATAAATCAGAAGTACATTCTGGGTAACAGGTATAAACCCAATGCTGGAGGAATAGTTCTGAGATTAAATGAGCAGGCAATTATGGCTTAAATGTAAAAAGAACATATTCATATTCATTTTTACTTATAAAACACAGAGACATGGTAGCAGAAAGTGTGAGGTTTAGCATTTTTTAGTAAAACTGGCAAATAGTGTTTCAATAAATTGCAAAAACAAACCTAACCAAAAAAACGAGGATAATAACTCCATTCACAGAGTGAGCATCCTTTTAAAAGCATTTTGTGTAGAGTGGTCATAGGCAGTGCTGTTGCTTATTGTGCAATGGAAGTTATTATACTTATACTAAGGAAGATACTTATGTTTTTGTTAAGAAAATAATTAAAACAGCTTTGTGGTCCTGAAGGACACTGAACTGGTACTGTAATTTAAAAAAAATATTCCCGTACAAATTTATCTTCAAATTGAAACTTTCCCTCATCTTCACCAAAGACATGTCCTATACCATTTTTATCTCTACTCTACAGTGTGCATGCAAGATAGTACTTTTTTATAATTCCATTACTTTTTTCTTCTAAAAAAACTTTATCACATAGTTTAGATTTTGGAAAGAATGCAGGTAAAAAAAAAAGCACTTTATAAATTGGGCTAAAGTCAGTTGGTTTGGCACGTCTGCTAAATCTGTGACCTTTTTCGCAAATATGTAGCCATGAACTGACATGTTTTGTTTTACCGATGAATTTTTTTTTTTGGTTGCAAGAAACACAAAATCAGTTCACTGCATGCTAGAAAGGGCCTTCAGAATCCAGAAGATCTATGCAAAGAAGGCACTTGATTAAGATCTGTCTTCAGCAAGCGGATAGTGAGAGGGATCAGGTGCAAGCTCTTCCTCCACGTTCATTTACATGTTATAAGCAGGGCAAAAAGCTGATTCCTCTGACCTCACACACACGTGCAGCTGAAAGGATATAGGCAGAGATGCTCTACTACTGCATTGAATAACCAGTTATTCTGGTTTCTGTGCACCTTTCTCATTGATCCTAATTAATCCCCATTCACTATCTGCCTAGAAACAATCAGACAGTTAAGTGAATGTGCCTTGTTGTTTGCAATCAGGAGTCCATTTTTAGTGATTCAAATATTTTTTGGACTGAGTCGAAAGAACCCCTGCTTTCAAACCTACAGAAGTAATTCGGCTACGGACATTTTTATATTGTGCTTTAAATAAATGCATATGAGAGGTAGGGACAACTGTTTCTTGAATCTTGAATGTTCAGCACAAAACCTTTATCATCTTTACATTGCAAGGTTTGCAATAGAAACTGCAATCTACCAATCATATTTGTTTTGCTGATTTTTTTTCACAATCCAGACCTTACAGGATGCATTCCAAATCTCCGTCATTTGCAAATATGTTTCTCCTGGGGACGGTCAACAATGACGTAATCCAGATTTTGCACTGAACATAAGAGCTGCCCTCTTATAACATATTAATGAGGCGCCCCTTAGAAACACTGCCTACAGAACGGCTGAGATGAGCTGTTAAACATTTCTTTTTCAGTGTATGCTTTAACAAAGGTTATATTACACGCTGTACAGTCTAGTCATTAAATCCACAGGTTAGAAAAACTGCTGACCAAAAAACTCCAAACAGCCACACGGTTCATTCACAGCACTGCAAAAAAAAAACTCCGAAACAAAACTAAACAAAAAGAATCCTCTTTTGCAACAGCTGCTGAGATTTGAGAAGAGTCTCTCCGTCCCTTTTCCCCTGCATCCTTCCCAAGTGGCAAAACACGCCCAGCTGCAAAGCGCCGAGCCGCTCCATCAGGTCGGGATTCAGCAGCCCAGGCGGGCAAAAAGAGCAACTTCCTGGAGACAAACAGCGTTAGCTGCTCCACGGAGAGGCTGTTCTGCTGAGGGGGGCTTCCTCTGCTCCAAATAAAATGAACGTTCACCTACAAAACAGAAACGCCCCTCTGCACGTTGCCAGTCCAGTCCATTCTATTTCCTCCCTTTTCTGATCTCGTCCCCAAACTGCACTGGCAAGGAACGTGCTCAGAACTGGTCCAGCCCACCCGACTGCCGGGCTGTTGCACCTGGGTCCGACCAAGAGGAGGAATCGAGCAATATTTACACCACGCCCGCGCTCTGCCCTGCCTCACCCCAGTCCCTTTCACCTGCTTTCCATAGGAATAAAGCAGTTCAATAAAACCTGCTGGATCATTCCAAAAGTCAATACAAAATGGCTCACCGTAGATTTTTCTGGTAACAGGAATATATAAGGACGACAGTCCTTTGGCAAGCTGACGAGAGAGGTTCACAGCTCAGTACTCATGGGCACAAACGTCTCCAGCCTTGGTAAACGACACCCCGAGCTGGCTAGTCTCCCCCAGGACGCGGCTTTCAAGTTCAAAAGGTCAAAAGGTTTCGCCAATTTCAAGTCCAGACCAAATGCCAGGGATGCCAACTCAATAATCCACCGCTGCCGAATGAATGTGGATTAAAAGTACTACGAAGGAAATGGAAACGTTCACTTTGAAACGATGGAGGCGACTATGAACATAGCGGGTCTCACGCGGTCCGTGCCCAGCTTGTGCTTGTCTCTTCCTTTTACCCACCCCTCCCCCCCACAAGGATGTATAGTGACGCCGGTTAAGGAAATGGGTTGGTAACTGTGTCAAGGGATGCGACCTCCCCCCTCCCCACCGCTTCTGGAACAGGAGAACGCCAGGCCTCCGGGCCTACTTGACGTTGAAGACCATCAGAGGCCTCTCCTCTCTCTTCTGCCAGGGGCTCTTCTTGTTCTCCCCTTGGTCGTCGCCTTCTCCCGACTGATCGTTCATCTCGTCCTCGGGACTCGTCATGGAGTCTCGCCGGATCTCGCTGTTGCTGCTCCTGGAGCTGTTGCCCCTGCTGCGCCCCTTCCTGGGGATGGTGGCCCCCCGGCTCTCCAGGCTCTCGTCCAGGAGTGGGGTGAGGGAGTTGTCCTCCGGCGAGCACATGGCCGTCCGGCTCTCGCTGCTGCTCTGCTCGGTGTCGTCCATGTAGGCCAGCTTGGAGTAGGCCATGCTCCCGGGGCCCGCCCTCTCCCGGTCCTCCTTGAGCCTCCTGTGGGGCTTGGCCTCGTTCACGTCCACCCCCGAATCCAAGCTGGCGTCGTTGCTGCGGACCCTCTCGCCGCCCTGCAGGTCGATGTAGGAGTGCCGCACGTGGGAGTTGGAGCGCCCATCCAGGGAGACGAACCAGGCCCTGGGGTGCGGCTTGACCCCCAGCTCCAGGAGCTTCTTCTCCGTCAGCGCCTGGAGCTCCCCGTTCATCTGGTTCATGGTGGAGTCGTTGAACAGGACGGGGATCCGGACGGGCCCCGTGGAAGGGTGGGGCCCCCACCCCCGGCCCTCGGGGTCTTCATTTTGCTGGCTGGCCTGCTGCTGCATCTGCTGCTGTTGCTGCGGAGTCAGCTGGTGGGGCATGGAAAGGTTGACGTGGATCCCCTCCATCTCCTGCTGGTGCTGCTGCTGCTGCTGGTCCAGGCCCATCCCCATGGCGTGCTCCATGCCCGAGAAATCCGAAGACAGTCTCATGTAATGCGCCGGGATGACCAGAGTGGGCATCACGCTTCTGTACATGTTGTCCTTCATCTGGTCGATGGACCCACAGAAGATCAGCTGGCCCGGGTGGGACAAGGAGGTGGGTCTGGCCAGGTGGTCCGCAGACTGGGATATCAAGAAATCCGGGGGCTTATTTTCCACCTTGTGCCCCTGGTAGTGCTCAAAAGGTGGGGGCAGGGGAGGCGGGGAGGGGGGATCCTGGGAGTAGGCTTTGTTGTCATTGACAACATGGCGCCGATGACCTTCCCCACTCTTATCCTCCACATTCTGCTGGCCGGCCAGGTTGTTGGGGACCTCTGCGGACCGGGCCACCTTCATTTGGAAGCTCTCCACCCCCCGGCGGGTGATGGTGTCCGTGTTGAACTTGGAGTGCCTCCCCTTCTGCGCCGGGATCTGCTTGAAGAACTCCTCCCGGGAGCTCTGGAACTCCCGCGAGGAGGAGAAGGCCGACTTCATGACGGGGGTGTTGGCGTCCATGTCCCCATTGGAAGAGGCCGTCTCGATGTGGCTGCTGCTGATCAGGTTGATGTGAGAGGTCGAGGTCCCCTGGTCCTTCTTGGAGCTGTCCAGCGTCGAGGAAATGTGCATTTTGCGGTGTTGCTGTCGGGGCTTCAGACATCTCCTCCTGGGGGAAAAAAGACAACAGAACAACATCGCTCATGCAGAACGAACAATCCCACACGGACCTCAAAACGCAAGTCTGCCAACGTGTTAGCGCACATCTCTATAACTCAAAAATTGAATTCTCTCACATTCAGATAAACTGTGTTTTCTGCTTGAAGAACAGCAACCTGTAAGTCACCGAATCACTACTGTAGGACAGTTAAGCGTCTTCTGTTTCTGTCTGGGTTCCTACCCTGCATATTTTACAGCTGAACTACTCAACTTTCAGTCCGTTCAAATGCAGCATTGTGCTACATTTCAAATATTTTGTTGTTAATTCGTAGAATCAATTTAATGGATAAGCTGCTCATTGCATTCGCTTCCTTAAACGGAGCTCAAGGCTGAAGGTGTACCTGCAGTAATACAGCAGCAGACAGAGCAGGATCAGGACCAGCAGGGCCATCGAGCCCAGGATAGTGAGCAGGAAGATGGTGTGATACGTGGTGATGTCCCGCAGACCTGAAGGGTTCAGAGCCATGCCTGCAAAACACGTGAAGCAAATAAGGGCTTCAATTCAACCTAATCAATGTAAACAAGCAACCAATCCATCAAAACGAAACATGAGTGAAGAAGAGTAAATCTCTGAACAGGGCATCGCTTGCTGCAATAATCAAGACCTAAGAGAAGGAGCATGTGATCTTTGGAAATTGACAAAGGGGAAGACTGGATCTAGTAATGACTACACGTTCATTTCCCAAGTAGAATTTAATGGCTTTTGCAAAATGTTCGGGGTGAGGTTCCCCTTACGGACATTCTACTAGTGACACTAGGCCTCAGGTTCACCCCTAGTCTCTCTGCGTTGCCTCACCTCCTGTGGCGGAAGGAACAGCGGCGATCCAGTAGCCAAGCTGAGGGGCTACGAAACTCCAAGTCAGCTGGGCTCCCTCTTTCTTTATGTATCCCGTCCCATTCCTGACCCAGACCCCTGCAGGAAAACACAGCCGTCAGAACAGCCCGGACGCTCGCATCAGGAGTGCTAAGAAACCGCGATTCCTGAAGGCGATGCCCCCTTTTCCAGTTCCGTCTTTCCTTCCTCCTGCCAGGGCAAGAAGAACAAGGGACGGATGTTCTGTCTGAGGCAGGAGACCCCGGCTCCATTTCAGCGTATTCACGCAGGATCTGACAAAGCGGTTTACTTTGTTGCTGCCACTCGAATAGCGAAAGAACCGTCTGAGCAACTGGTCGGCCATGCTGAGAACATGTAGCCTAAACTTGCTGGGAAATCCTGTCAAAGTTCATGGTCATTCGCAATGCCTAGCTGGCTCACAGGGCCTGGGCTTAGCCCAGCGATTGCAGCGTTCAGTGAGCAAAGAGCACCAGAGACACCCCTTCAGACGGCATTTCATTTAAGATCACATCCCACTTCTTACCCGTGGGGTTGACTAATGCAATCAGGACACTGCACCAATCTCAGGAAAAACAACACCACCTCAACACAGAGAGCCGGAACCTAACCACCCTCTGGCAAACGTGACATGCGCACCCCACCTCCCCCGAATTCAGAATGGAACCAGATATCGGGGCAAAAACACCTGGGAGATCATCATTAAAACAAAGAGGACCCAACACAAGCAATATCACAGAACACTCCCAGAGCTTAAAATTACCCAAATCAAAACTTGATATAGCTGAACAGACCTACCAAGAAGAAAAGGCTTGGTCCTGTCACAGTTTAATTTAAGCAGATGGGAGCCAGAGAAGATTAGATGCCCCACAGGTAACAGCTGCTCCTGCCTGCGTGGCGCGCTGTGTGGGAGACAGGCCCTGCTCTGTTTCTGATCGGTATTCCTCGGTGACAAACAAGGTCACATGGCTGGCGTTCCTGTCTCTGCCTTCAGTCGGCTGCACATGGTCTGGCCAAGCAGCCGCTTGGGAAAACACAGCTTCAGACCAGGGCTGCCGGTTGGCTGCTCCTAATGAAAGCATGCAATCGTCTTCGCCTCTCCAAACCAGACCAGATAACGCCATTCCCATTCTGCAGAGGAAAAGGAAGACGCAGATGTCTGCACGC